GGTCAATGTCACTATATTATATTTGTATCTTCATATAGTCATAAAATCAACATTTTATATCTTGTTTTCATGATATTTCAGGCAGGGCTGTCTCGGTCAGTCTGGACCATTGAAAATTGTTATCAATGTTTCATACTCAAAGTACCATAGTTATTGGAAATATATACAGGGGCCCAGGGTGGCTGAGTGGTCTAAGCTACATAACTGACATCTCGCCTCTGTCCGCGTGAGATTCAAGTCTCAGGCTTGTTCAACGTGTTGACGCAAGAAAGCTTGCCAGTAGCTTCCCATGGGTCAGTGGTTCTTCCCAGTTTGTTTTTTTTTCTAGGTTATTCCTTCACAAAATACACTGTTCGCCAAGTATAGCCTGTGCCGAAATGCTATTAAATCCATAACAACAACAACACAAGGATACAGCATATTCTAAATGCAACGAGGGTTTTTTTTGTAAGCATTGCCTTTACTATGATGCCATGTAGAAAAGGAGTTTTTGAAGGTTATATAAAACATTTTACCTATTATCGGACTGTTAGAATTAACTGACATTTATAATTTTGGCTATTTAAATTTAGACCAGATCTGACCCTGTTACATTATGCTAGAGTTTCGTTCAACTAAATGTTAGTATTTGCATGATATGCAAGGTTTTTGATACAAAAGCCTGTCACATTCATGGCAATAAAACTACATATATTAGTAATCGCGATAACATTGACCACTGTTGCAGTAGATAAAGTATGCTATTTTGTTATGTATTAAAAAATATACAGTAAAGAATGGTATCTGTTCAACAAAATTGTTACATAAATATGAGCATATTTGTATATCTGTCCATTGTTTTTATGCCTACACTGTTTCAATTGATTTGTCTCTCCAGGTTACGCTGCTTATATGATGCCCTCTTGTCCGTCGTCCATCTTGTCCGTCGTCCATCCGTCTGTTAGCAAGAGTTTGTTATAGACGCCTATGCTTTTCCTAAACTACTGGAGGATTGTAATGAAACTTAGAAAACGCACACTTATTCCACGGTCTGTTTGGTCTTAAATGAAAATGAAACTTTGCAAATGCACGCTTATTCCACGGTCTGTTTGACTTTAAATGCAAATGAAACTTTGCAAATGCACACTTATTCCACGGTCTGTTTGGCCTTAAATGAAAATGAAACTTTGCAAATGCACACTTATTCCACGGTCTGTTTGGTCTTAAATGAAAATGAAACTTTGCAACGCAACTGCACACTTATTCCTCGGTCTATTTGGCCTTAAATGAAAATGAAACTTTGCAAACGCACACTTATTCTACGGTTTGTTTGGCTTTAAATGAAATTGAAACTTTGCAAACGCGCACTTATTCCACAGTCTGTTTGGCCTTAAATGAAATTGAAACTTTGCAAACTCACACTTATTCCACGGTCTGTTTGGCCTTAATTGAAAATTGTGGCGCATATTCATCCTATAGGATTGCAATTACTTGAAAATCTTATCGCTCATCAGATGGCATGGAGTTTTCTCTTGAATCGGGATATTTGTTTTCAATTACCCCTTGAAAAATAAATTTTTCAAATCTTATAATTGATATAATAGTTTCTTATTTTCAATAAATCAGAACAAGAATATTTTTTCAAGCTATTTCAGGCCGAATGTGTTTTAATTTTTTTAAATCCCAGTCCCCACCCCACCGCTACCCCTAAATAAAAGAATCTGTTGCTGTTTTTATTTGAGCAGATGGTCACGTGGACATGGAATTTAGACTTAAAGCGTTTTGTGATGTCATGTTACTCTGGAATGAAAATGTGGACAACCTGACATCCAATATTGCCGCCACGGCAGCTGCCATTAAAGTCATTTTATTCTCCTGAATGGATGATGACGTTTACACGAGTATTTTTGTGGTCATATTAGCGATGTTACCAAAATACATAAAACATTGATCAATTTATTATCATATTGTTCTGGACAGTTCAACCAAAGTTACCGTGAAGCATCTTGCCAGAAAGGTCTTAGAAGCAGAGAGGTTGTACAGACCACGTTCTAGAAGAGTCCGTTGCAAAAATAAAGCTTTCTCCGAAGACGAAAACACAAACGTAACTAATGCCAAACCGAAGCCTTTAATCGACCAAGAACTCGTTTGTTACTTTATTATTTACGTTTGTATTTTCAAATGATTATGCATGTTCGTTTACCCGTCGGACACTCACTCGAGGTTGTCATCCACTCTGCTGCTGTGTATCAACCAAAAAGTTTATCGAGACTTGTATGATATCGCGACCGATGATCATGTAATTTGATCGTGATAAATCCGTGTCAAGTAGCCTGCGCGCGTGAAATTATTTTTTTAAATTTCATCATATCCATGTCACATAAACACCAAGTCTGATGAATGTTTTGAAGAGTATGTGTATCGACTCCATTAAACACAACTAAACAATTGTAGTTATCTGTTCACTTTAGGTATTTGTGTATATCGCTGAGTAACATAAATCACGTCTGTGTTGTTGTGTCTGGCTCTAGAAAATATCAGAGCTGGATATGATTGCTTGTCGAGCATCACATCGTCGTATAATATGAGATTAATAATAAATCCATCGAGGTCATCTACCGATGGGGAAAAACAATAATATTGCCGTCCTGATCCAACAATTTTGAATTTGAAGTTATTAACGTTTGTGTTTTAGTTTTCGTAGAAAACTGTTTTCGCGAACGGAATCTTCTAGAAAATGTCTGTTCATCCTCTTTGCCGCTACGTCCTTTCGAGTTTGTAGAAATGTTGCTGATATGACTTCAAAAATTGGGGGAATACTAAAACTGTGAAAATCCAACTTTTAAATTAGTCATTTTCAAAGACTGCCCAACTGAATTGAACTAAATATGACAGAAAGCGTCTTGGCAAAAAGGCCATTCAGTTTTGTACAAACGGTTCAAATCTTGAAAGAACATCCCCAAAACTTGGTCAACACAAGTTGATCGAATTTCTGTGATAATATTTTGTAATAAGGTATTTCCAGTATGCACATATTATGCTGATTCCAGCCAAATGTCTTAACACACACACTACAATATCATAAAGCATCGCAACTAACGGATTCCTTGGACAACTGCCATTTAATTGATCCTTTAGGTAGATATCAGCTAGGCGAGTGCTATCATTTCCACATGGACCTCTTGTGGTGCTTCGGTTAGCTTATGAACACAGTGATTTATGCATATCCAAATGATATTTTAACCAAACTTTGAACAGTCCAATTAACAAATCGCTAGTAAGCCGCTAATCGGAACTTCGCTCGGCCATTTCCATCAAGTCAAGAAGAAAAAAAAAACTCAGATGTAGGAATATGCATAAATTGATGGCTTCGGCGGAATATACCGAGTATGTTGCGATATAAAACCCTACAATATTCTGGTTGTGACTTTGTCTCCTTGCGCCGTCATATTGTGCCATGAGAACAAAAGTAGTTCTAAGTGTAATTCTCAATGGAGACGAATTATATCCGAGGTTTCTGTCTCGACTTTAAAGAAGGATTTTCAGATTATGTCAGCGGCCTGGCATTTATCTTAAGAAAAGACGGCCTGAATGGGATCGTTAACTGTATTGGTTTTAATCACGAGAACACAATCAGCTTACGTATCTATCTGATGAATACCTTGAATGACATCACTTGAATGTATTTTTGTTTTCATAAATTATTATAGATTTAACCAAAGTTAGTATGTGTGTCTTTAAATTTTGTTTCCATCTGCGATATCATGATCAAGGATCATTGGCAAAGAATTTTGTATTGCAAAAATTAGCATATAAATGCTACAAAAACCAGTAGGGAACTACCGTTAAATTTTTTTGGTGGGGTGGGGCAAATTTTCTTTCGATGTATATTTTTCATTCCCATGGCCGTCCATCAGTCGATACGTCAAACCATGGTTATGTTTTGCATTTATGTTATTTCAAGCATTGTGGTGAGACATCCGTGCTCCATAAACATTCATTTTTGTTGTTTCCCTGCTCAAAATCTTTTATGTGCATTTTGAAAAGATTATGGAAACTAATTTTACCACCTTTTTATTTTCCTGAAGCTGATTGTGTAGTTATGTGTTTTGTTCTATTAGTATATCGCCTTATACACGTCATTAAAGTTAGAGATTCAAAAGTATATTGATGTTTATCAGTATGACTAAAATAAACCTTGGCTATTTCATTATTGTTGAACATGCATACCTTATATAGAGGTTGTGTATGTCAGAAACGGCGTTCTTATTAAGTATCCGCTGAGCAATGTCATTTAAATCAAGGTATTTTCTAAGAACGATTTTCCAGTATTATGAAATTGAATAATGTTGAGGGGGTGGGGGTGGATAGGTTTACAAATGTATAACAATTGTATAAAGACAAAAATGAAGGAAAATAAACGTGGAAACTAATTAAGTATCTAAGAATTAGAGAAACGACGTTCTTGATACATGCATTAAGAATAGCTAATCTTTTTTACTAATTTATCATACTCAAAAGTAAATCATTCGAATTGTATCGTTTACTTGATGCCTTTATGACTGAAAGTTGCACAACGTTTTTGAAAGTATTTTATAACATGAACTTTTTTTATAATTCCTTTACTTCATTTGCAGACTTTTATTAAAAAAAATAAAATAAATCACACTACAGACGAAGAAAAACATATTAATACAAAGCGAGTGGTCAAGTAAAGGAATGCTGTATAGCTGTATAACTAGCTGCAATTCAACCATTCTTGCATTTGTTTGCTCAACTCTTATCCCTTTCAGACTGTAACTAGTACATTACTTCATCAATGAGGTCGAACTTGTGATGTGGGTGCATTTTGTGATGATTATGTTTTCCACCATACCTATGTCACTAAGGCTTTCACTATCATGATGTCCCACCCAGTCACATTATCCTGACACCAGCCCCACTAGTCCAAACATGGACACCTTAATGCTGATCTCCTGGCTTGGCAGCAGTTACTACCATTTCTATATAAGTCTTTGGTAAGACTCGGGTGAGATTCGAATCCGCGACCTTCCGCATCCGAGGTGGATGCTCTAACCACTTGGCCACCGGAGCAGTCTCTTCTGTTGTGTCTTGCGAAACATTTTAAAATACTTTTGTGCTTTGCTTTTGCAGGACATTGATCGTAACATTTATTTCAGTAGCAATGTTTCAATAGCCTATAGTGTTTTTTTTTTTTAAAAAAGTCTAGTGTATTATCAATTACTTGGTTACAAGAAGGAAAAATGTACTAACAGGTACTCAAATAAAAAAAAACGCAAATTTTCTTTACTGTTACAATGACTTATCAGTGACAGAATTCAATTCTTCATTGCCTACGAGATATGACCTTTGAGTGCAACGATGAGTGACATCATCACTTATCTTATCCGGACATCTAATTTTCCATTCGTCCCTGCTCTGCCAACCTTGTCTAGTTGTCTGGATTTGGATTCTTGCCAGTCGATTGGATGATCGGCCTTAGATATAGTTTTCGGCTCAAAATTTGCTCTGGTATTTGAAATTGGTATGGGGATTTTCAGAAAAATCTCAGGAAAGTTCCAGAATCTCGGGAGAGTTTAGGAAAGCTGTTTCCTTTAGTAAACAAAATGTCTCGCAATAGACAATAGGTCACATGTCCAAGTATATCTATATTTTGACATTAATTCGGCTCAGAAAACAAAAAAAAATGAATATTCAATTACATGCAATCTTGTCGATTCTCCAAATGAATTGATAATTAGAAAATCAAAGAATAAAATGTCATAATTAATATTTCACTAAAACACTTAAAAATGAAGTCATACATACATACATCATGACATCAATACATTTGCAAGTAAATCAACAAATGACATAGCATATTAAAATCGGGAAACTAAGATTGCATACCTTTGCCGTTTTTTATTCGTCTTCTACGAACCTCATGTATAGTCTGTCTCCTATCTAAGATAACTATCCGGCCCCTTACTCAATAACGAAAACGTACTTGCTACGTTTTCGAAGTCCCGTCTAACTTTTCTCAAGAAAGATTGAAAACTGAAGAATTTTTCCAAAGCAAAACCCTTAATTCCTTACAGAGTTACGCCCATAAATCCATATTAACCAATCAGACTCGACTGTTTCCTAAATCTTCTACGTAGAATTTTTGATTGTCGAGACAGCTAATCATGCCGTAATTAACGTTCTTTTGAACAATCACTTATTGCCAAGCTTCCCCCTTTAACCGGTTGATTTTGGGAAAGTGTCTTATGTCATATCTTTGTACCATAGCATATGACTCGGTCAAGTTTCGTCGCGTGGAACGAATTTTCTTTTTGACGTTCAGAGATAAAATGAAAATAATCAGAGACGATATGAAAATAATTATCTATCTCTAGCTCTTTCTACTTTAATTAAGTTGACTTTGATACAATTCGTTTAACCAATGCTTCAAAAAGTTTTCAAAATTTGACATCACAATACGCAATTTTAGTTTAAATTTTAATATGCTATTTCATTTGTTTGATTGTTTGCTGATATGATATATTATGATTCACGTATGTACTCGTGTATTAATTTCGTAGGACTCTAGAGATGTGTTAATTGTACCAGTTAATTCTTTGATATTTTTAAATTCACCCTAGTATACGAATATGTCATATTTCAGTTGAATAGAAAGTGAATTGGGCTATATTTTAATTGAGTATGTAATTTAGTAAATCAGTTGTATGGGAATTGATTGTTTCTTTGATTATTTGTTATTTGATTAAATTTTTTTACTTTTATTCATTGAAATTGCGCTTGTTTTATTTCTTTCATTACTTTGCTCAGCTATCTGTAACGTTCCATCTATCCGTCCACACTGGGCAATTGCATCGCGGAAGATCATTCCCTAGTTAACGACGCCGAATTGAAAGGAGGAGGGTTTTACTGTTCAAATCCCCCCTTATCATAAAGCGTGTGTGTGCATGTATGTGTGTGTGAGTGTGTGTGTGTGTATCTGTGTGCGTAATGTACATTAATGGATGCATCGTTAAATATTTATTTATTATTATTATTATTATTATTATTATTATTATTATTATTATTATTATTATTATTATTATTATTATTATTATTATTATTATTATTATTATTATTGTTGTTGTTGTTGCTCTTGTTGTTGCTCTTGTTGTTGTTGTTGTTGATGATGATGATAATGCTGCTGCTGCTGATGATGATGATGATGATGATTTTGCGCATTCGTACTTAATTTAAAAATTGTTCTCACTCTCATTACTTATTTTCTCTTTGTCTTGCATCCATCAGTTAGCATATGTTGATATATTTTGAACAAATCTGGTATTTGGGTTATTTATTTTGTGAATATTTAGACGAGTGACATGACCAGCCTTAGTCTCTATATTAAAAATCATATTTTCAAACTTTCGCACAACAGTAAGTTTGCACGGATCTTCTATGCGGATACATCTGAACAACATCTCTGAATACTTTGATAATCAGCATTGTTAACCATGAGGTTAATGATCTTTAGTCCTGGCAAAGGTTTCCTACTGGGTTATGAACAAATATCTCCACCAAATGTCAGTGGATTTTTATTAATCTTTGTATCTGAGTATATCTATGTATTAATTATAAAAAAGACAGTAACGCGCACTCTTGACAATGTGCTCAAACTCGGTGACCATAATGTGGAATTTGAAGTACATTACGATTATGAACAAAATAGCTGGAACAAAACGGATCTGGACCAACTTGGAATGCATGTACATGTCAACCATTTCCCGGATGAGTTCCATGATAAGCATTTTGCAATTTTGAGGTCGAAGTAAAAGAAGGTATAAGTTATTTAGTTGAATACATTTGATGAAGCATTGCACATAATTAATATGTTTAGATCTATACAGCTTCTCGAATGTGTTAAGTAACCAGACCTGCACGTTCTTGGTTTCAAGGTTAAATGCGATTTAAAATTTGTATGCGCTGTCTGTATCACGTACACAGATTGTAATTGTCAAATAATTAGAAACTGATCTTGTATGCTGGTACATCTCAATCATATCATGGATGAATTTATTAGGCAGCATTGTATAAGCAGAAATCGTGACTTTGTTTTATAATTTGAGGGTTTGTTATACTCATTTCTGTGGCAAATAGAAATGGATTTAAATTGATTTTGTAGTTCTAAATATCTTTGACGTGTTTCATAATCAATCTTCTTTTATTTGGGCGTAACGGTGAAAAGTCACTACATATTTGTTTTAAAACTTATTTTAGCTCGCAAATGCAAGAACTGGAACAGGCAAATGTGAATATTTACTAAATGTTTCATATATATCTACTATATTACTGATGCGTTTAGTAATCGCCACTAAATGACACTGGAATAAAGGTAATGAATGCTAATTTTGGCTTTCATGTTATAATGGCAAGAAAACTTGGGATTGTTAACCCTCTATTTTAAACGACCCACTCCCATGTTGCAAAGGCTGCTGGGTCAGCAGTCATACCCTGTGTCAAACATGTCCACTAAGACTGACACTACAATAATCGTTTGAAAACAGTTAATAAAATAAATTCAGACGAATCGTAAGCAAAATTGGTAAGGTTGTTGTTTTATTCTGAGCAAGATGTATGCATATTGATGAGACAATCTTGAATGTGACTGGCCGAGCGTCTTTCCACTTCATAGACTGTATTTCTGACCTGAGTTTAATACGAGTTTGTAAACAGGCCAAGATCATGAAGTTGTGGGATTTTTGTTATCAACGAGATTCGTATGTGTTTTTGAGGTGATTTTGCATCTAATTGGCAGAGATTTTGGTGTTTTTTGGCACATCCGAAAATGTTTTTTTGATAGGATTTTAATATTGATTAACAGTCATTTGTTATCAAGATCTTTGTTGAACATGACTATGAATAAAGTTTACGTATATTAATAACGTGATCATGCATCTAATTGGTCGAATTGTCAACACTTTAATCATCTTTGTTTCTGATCAGATTTGTATTAAATTGTGAGTCTTGTTTTAAAAAAAATGTTGCATGTACTTGATTATGAGAGCGATATGTGAATATTAATTATGTAATTTTGTATCTGATTGATTACACTATCATCTCTCTGGATAACTGCCTGGATACCCAATTCAAATAGGAGTTTGCTCCACGCTATGCTTATAATAATTTTCCTAGACATGTTCTGTGATAATTGAGATCAAGGCATTGCGAATCATTCGATGAACTTTTCGCCTCCCTAAATCTGTGGACTATTGTTTTTCTTCATCTATTTTCATACAACTTAGTAAATGCATGTATATTATCGAGATCTTGGATGACTTCGATTATGAACGAGAGACTATGTGTATTAATAATGTCTTTATCTTTAGAAGGAATTTATATCAGACAACAGCAGAAGCGATATCAACATAATATAGAGTTTGGAATTTAGCCTATATACATTGTATTCTTATAAATAAACCTGTTTACTGAAATAAAGAACTGTTAAGTTACGCATGCCAAGGTAGGCGATATCAGTCTCACTCAGGCTTCTTGTTGATGGATAGCCATGAAACTTGCTAACTGAGAAAGTCACCTGAAAATTAAGTCTTTTATCGATACGTCTTTTATGTCTAATTCCCTAATGCAGCGGATAACTCAATCTCGTTAGCGCAAATAGTTCCCCAATTTTTGATGAAAATATATAGGCATTTTCATGTCATGCACATATCGTCAAGTCACTCTGTTGATACGATTATTTTAGAGTTATTTTCATGTCATGCACATATCGTCAAGTCACTCTGTTGATACGATTATTTTAGAGTTATTTTCATGTCGTGCACATATCGTCAAGTCACTCTGTTGATACGATTATTTTAGAGTTATTACCTTTATCATTTTCAGTCTGACGTAGTGTTCTACAGAATATTATCAACGCAAATAGTCTCGCACATTTCAATATTTCCCCCGTGAAACTTTTCTTACTAAAATCATCATTTGACGATATGCATTTCAACAAATCACATTTTGCTCTCAAGTACTTATCACCCTCCCCCCACGTCTTGCTGCTGAATGCAGTGTAAAATCTTGTGAATGCACATA